TATCATCCCAGTTGTTTGGATGGTTACGTAAGAGTGCAAGATGGTATCAAGTTGGTTAATGGAAGTCCTGTGCCTTCACGACTTTTGTTCGTCTACCCCCCCTCATTGGGAAGTAAACCTTCGAAATTCAGGAAATCCAGAACTGCTTGATCATGGTTTGAGTCGGCAAATATCTTCTTTCCTTGTGATTTGCCTGCCGAGTAGTTGACAACATATCCAAGAGTTGCCCATGCCTGATCTCTTCCTTCGATATTCCAGGGAGAAACAAGAGAGAGACATCTTCAGCGCAGTTATCGAAAGGTTTTGGAACTGGCCAGTCACTGCCCCATCAATATACCATTGGATGCCGATTCCCATTTGCTTTCGGGGATTGGTAACGTATGCCTTGTAACAATTGCGGTACGCCTCACCAGTGTTCAACTGACTGATTTTGGTACTCGTTTTAGGTGGTGGAGCTAGTGGATCGTTATCGAAAAAGCAGAAATCGTCGTCCTTGAGGCTGGATCGGCAAGCAATTGCCACACACAATGGCGAGCATCGTGGCACACCACCTTGATGTTAGCACCTGAATGTGGAAGCACAAGGTCTTTTGTGAAAGGGAATTTGCCACCCATGTTGTATCTTGTCATGAGGAAGCTCATCAACTTTTTCCGGCTCAAGTACTCCGGAACCTCACCAAGCTTCTCGTCACCCAATCGGCTCCAGTTTCATCCAAGTGCCATGTCAACACATCATCATACGCAGTCAAAGGCGCCTTGTTCTTTCGAAGGATATCCATCAATTTGACACCCCGAGCCTGTTTCTTATCCAAGGGGAGGAACGTCTTCTTTGAATCTGCACAATATTGCCGGAATTGGTTGATGTTCCTATCGTCTGGAGGTTCATTGTCATGGTTCCATTCCTTGGGAATTTGTACCAGGGTAGCTGTTGATCCACCACTGCTGGTCTCATCATCATCTTCATTACTATCATCATCATCTGTGTCTTCTTGCGAATCGTCGTCACTTCCTTCCTCATCAGTTGCCTCTATGGCTTCCTCATCTGCCTCCTCTTTTGCTTCCTCATTGCCGTCATCTCGGGTACCAAACCGCGGGTCAGCTGCTGGTTTTCTATTGTCTTCCTCGCTTTCAGAACCAATACCACCACCATCTTGCATGGCCCAAGCAATTTGATCTTCCTCCACCATGTCTTGTGGAATGGCTGGCATTTGACTTGATGTGCCTCTCTCCTCTCCTGCAGATCTTCTAACTTGCCGTGGTGCTTTAGCGGGTCTTCCAGTGTCAGTGGCACCAAGCCCTGCAGTAGTCATGTCCCTTTTCTCCTAGTACTAGTACTTCTTGTTGCTTTGCCAATGCCAAGTGAAATCTGCCTTGCTGCAATGCAACTCCGAGATTGGTTGGTGTGAGCACTTAGTGCCCTCTTGCTTTCAAACCAAGCTTTAACAGTAGTCGCAATACCAATAACCCATGATACAACTAGTAGTAGTAGCTAGCTAGTAGTAATTGCCGATCGCTAGCCCGTAATAAAGGAACTGTAATACCTTAGGCAAAGTCTACACGACCTTACAAAATGTGAGTGTGGTTACCAAAAGCTAACCCCCAAACCGCTCTGTACCGGATTCTGTATGTAGTTTCCATGTTCATTGGTATGGCATAGGGGACAAAACGGGACCACAAAATTGGTCGGTACCTATGGGGTTGGGAATTTAGGATGCATGCAGGGTTCCAAAACGGTGCATACTGCCACACCCAATGGAGAACCCAGTACATATTCCACAACAAACACCATCCAAATCCGGGAGCAATGACGTCACCAATCGCCTAGGGACGCATGTCGTACCTTCCAGACCTCGCTGTTTTCGCGAGACCCCATTATGCGCTTCTTAGATGTATACTACGTCCGGTAGGCCTGATCTAATGACTGTGTACGTTCCTTTCGGACAGTCGTAGACGATGTTGCAATTCTTGCGGACATTCTTAACAGATAAGATGTTCGTGATTCCTCTTTCATCGAACCATACTCTCTGTTTGTGGCCAGCTAGCTTGGCTGTGTGCTGGACCTTCAGCTTGCCTCTGGTACTCTTCACTGTAATGGGACGATCGGCTCTCCTGATGTCGGTAACCATGTCTTTATTACAGAATAAATCCAACGTGGACTGGTTGTCCAGTAGCTGGACCTCTCTCATATCTATGTCGTCCAATCCTTTGGTGTGGGTGACTATGCCTTGCTTAGTCGTGCGTTTCTTCGTTCCGTCCGCGAACAGCGGTACGAACGTAAAGAAACCTTTCTCTTCTTTCTCTGAATCTGACTCCGTGATGTCAGAGTCGGTATTATCTTGTTCTTCCTGCAGGGTTGTCAGTGCGCTCTGCATTTTACCCTGCAGTTTGCCGATTGTAGCTAAGGTCTTCCTTTGACTGCTACTAGAGCTTTTCTTGCTCGACGTGCTTGACTTGCTACGCTTGCTCGACTTGCTTTGTTTCGACTTGTCGTCGTCATCTTTATCTTTGTTAGGACAGTACGTGGCTGGATACCCTTTCTCGTGGCAGTTAAAGCATTCCTTGTCTTTCCAGAAATCGCTGTCGAAGCCTGCGTTTCCGCGGCCTCTTCCTCTGCCACCACCCCGTCCTCTCCCGCCTTGTGCTGTCTGAGCAAAGGAGCTTCCGTGGGAAGTGGACTGTCGTGGTGTGTTACTCTTGGTGTGTTTGTCCAAGAGATGTAATACGTCATGTAACGTATGGGGATAGTTATCAGTGCCTTTGGCAAAGTCGTCCCTCAGGTTCTGTTTAAGTTTGTTGTTCTCGACTGAACTATTTGTTAAGAAGATGTAGCTATAGTACCGTTCTTCAGCGTATGCCGAGACGTTCTTCTGTTCCTCGGCTCCGAGGTCGGCGTATTCTGTGCCGGGGTGGAGTAGTTTAGCCGTATGCAGCAGGGCTGCGTCGTGTAGCTTGGAAATACCCACGGATTTTGCAATGTCCTTTTTCGTGGTAAATTGCTCGTGGTATTCGGAAGTGGTAAGGCTCCCTTGGTTAAAACCCAACAGTTGCTTTTCCAGTTGGTATATGGTGTGGTACACAAAATTATCATCGGTCTGGGCCATGATCGTCTTGTGGATCATTGTTCGTAGCTCCAGTGGGTCGCATCCTAGCAGGACGGCATCGTAGTACGTGTTCTGCGTCATCTTGTCCTTCAATATTCGGGTGCACTGCCCGAGGATCAAGTTGAATGCTTTGCCCCTATTTTCTTGTAGTTTTGCCAACCTAGTAAGGTAGGTCTTCATGAGTCCTCCATACTCTGTTTTCTCGAGTCCCCGGAGTTCCTCTTCCGGTGGGTTCTGTATGTCTTCTTGCAGGTCGGCTATGTCATTGACGGTGTTTGCTTTTTCTAGCTATCGTTAAAGCTCTCCACCTATCTATTTGATTCGGGTCCTGGCGGACCGCGAGTATCTGTTGGTCCAGCATCTGTAGGCTGGCCTGGTTTGCCGTTAGTAGAGTCGTGTTTTTCTGCAGGCGTCGTTCGGCTGCTGATCGGAGCCTTGCCTGGGTCTCCACTGAGTATGCCGGTGCTGGCAACACGGTTGGTGTCAGGTTCCGGAGCTCATTGCCAATGTCTTCACCCATCTGTTGTCCAACGTAGATGGTGATCTTCTCCCATGTTCGTATCATCTGGTCTGCCGTTCCAGATCCAGTTGTACCGAAATTGAACACATGGTGTTCGAGGGCTTTGCATGAACCTTTTTGTTGGTTCAAAGACGATGGGCTGGGTCTTCCACGCCCTCCTCGTCCACTGCCGCCTCGGCCACTCCTTCCTCTACCTCTTCCACTCAGTTTTGATGCTACGGTAGGTGGACTATTTGAATTCTTTCTTTTTTATTTGGCTAGCTCTTTTATTTTAAGTTCTCGTCCGACTACTTATTCGTCTTCTGGCTATGGGGCGATAAACTTCAAATTATACTCCTGGCTAGGGAGTGTTAAAACTATTGCTAAGGATCTTGCAAGGTTGGGCGCTATTGCTTCACACTTCGTGCGGTATGCTGCCGTTCCAAGCCCGTTTCCTTGCTGATTGTTTCCTTGGTTGGGTACCCGTCCTTGGTCCCTGCGCTAGCACTATGGCTTTTGCGCTGTTGTTGGCTTTCTCCTCGCCAATCAACCTTGCCGGTAATCCTTGTGGATTCTACCGACGAAATTCTTCCTGCCGACGAAACTCTCGTCGTTCGGCTTGGATTCGAATCTGTCCTTGGATCCTCTTGCGTCGTCGCGTTGCTGTCAATCCTTCGACAGGCTTCTCTTGTTGCTGTCTTTCAATGACAGTCTCCTGCTCTTCAGTCTTTTATTGATCTTCGCGTCGTCGTCGACGGTCTTCTCGCGTCGATCCTAGCGTCGCGTTCGGCCGATTCGTACTCGATTCTCGCTGTCGCGTCGCTGCCGTCGTTAGTCTCTTCTTCTCGTTTCGACGGTCTTCTCCTCTTCTTCGATACAGACCACTGCTATTGTCGATAGCAGTACTTTTTCAGTAGTTTGTTAGATTCACTAAGCTCTCTAGTTTACCATTGCTATTGAGATACTACTGAAAAAGTGGGTGGGCTCTGTTTTTCTACTGGTGTGAAATTCTAGTACAGAGGTATAGGTTGAATCCCTAATCGCGAATCCCCAACAAACAGGACCACCTTCAGTGATTCAACAGGGAAGCAACTTGTCATCCATCTCACCAATGAGCAACCTAACTTCAGTGACAACTCCAACCTCAGAAGTTGCAACTGGAATCCAATCAGTGACAAGTGCCCCAGCTTCTGCACACCAAGCCAAGCCTCTACCTCTGCATCATCAAGTCAGGTCAGCACTCCAACAGAGAACTGCAAGTTGAAGGGAGCTTTGAAAGAGCTGGGACTTCCTGATTACATGATGAAGATTCAGAGAGGAAAGCGTGAGAGAAAACTGGTCAACAGATTTCAACCATAAGTTAACATTGCTGGGCAACACTACAGCCTCCAAGCAAACTCAATGGTTGGAAGGACTGCTGAGTATCACTTTCCACAGGCTCATGTCTACATGATGGCTAACCTGTTTGAGGAACCAATGTCACCTGAGTTCTCCAAGGTCTCCAAGGATGATCCAGATGCAAGAACCCTGGAACAAGCTCTGGTCGACACTGAGCACCTTGACAAGTGGATTGCTGCCTTGGAGAAAGAGATCCGTGATCTTGAACCCCATGGAACTTGGAAAGAAACACCTATCCAAGATGCCAAGGGAGACATTGTTCCAGTGATGGCTGTGGGTGTTGACAATTAAGAGAAAACCAGATGGAAGTTTTGATAAGTTCAAGGCAAGAATTGTGGTGAGAGGTGACTTGATGAAGTCATATGATTTCCCGACACATGCTCCAACCTGTGCCTGGAGTACCATACGAATGGTGCTCATCCTAGCCCTCACCTGGGGATGGTCCACTTGCACATGTGACTATTCAAATGCCTTCATACATGCTACCTTGGACAAGCCTGTATGGATCCGTCTTCCAAGAGGCTACCAATCCAGTTTGGCAGGCAAGTCTTGTTTGGAATTGACGCGATCTCTTTATGGAACTTCGTTTGCTCCAAAACTCTGGAGTGACTGTCTTTGTTCTGCATTGGAGAAATACGGTTTGAAACAGTCAGAATAAGACAAATGTCTATTTGCAAAACCAGGCATGACGGTTGTCACTTATGTGGATGATCTGGTGTGTGCTTTTGAAGACCCCAAGGAAAAGGACAGATTCTTCAAGACCATGGAAGAATATGGCTTCAAGCTCTCCATGGATGAAACCTTATAATGCTTCCTGATAATCCATTTTGAGAAACTGCAAGATAGAGCCTTCAAGATGACACAGCCAGGACTGATTGATAAAATCATTGAGACCACTGGGATGAAGCTTTGCAATCCAAGCCCCACCCCAGCTACCCAATGAGACACTGGGAAAGGACCCTGACAGTGAAAAGATGACTGATTCATGGTTCAATCCCAGTGTGGTCAGGATGTTAATGTATCTGTCCGCCAACACCAGGCCTGACATTACCTTCGCTGTCAGCCAGGTTGCCCGGTTCAACCATGAACCCAAACGGACTCATGCCACTGCTGCCAAGAGAATCAAGGAACCATCATGCACCCTGATGGAACTTTGTCGGTTAACTCCATGAGTGATGTAGACTTTGCAGGGCTGTACAAGGTGGATCCCATGGCTGATGTATCCAGTGCCAAATCACGCATGGGGTACATTATTGGGATGGGTGGTTGCCCACTGGTTTGGAAAAGCCATCAGCTTATCCCCTGTGTGTGTCTTGGTACCACTGAAGCAGAGTACTATTCCTTGTCACACTGCTTGAGAGTTCTGATCCCCATCAGGCGTGTGCTTGCGGAGCATACCCAGCTCCTCAACGTCCCACATGAAATGAAGGTCACCATCACGTCAGAGGCTTCCGAGGACATAAGTGCCGCTCTGCTCCTGGCTCGTGATCACCGTCTCTCGTCCAGGACGCGGTACTACCACACCCAGGCCCATCACTTCTGGCAATTTGTGGATGATGGTACCATCAAGATTGTCCCCTGTGAGTCAGCCCTGATGGACGCATATTACTTCACCAAGGCAATGCCACGAGAAGGCTTTGAGGCCAATCGCAAGTGTGTCCAAGGTTGGTCGTTCTGCAACCTGATCTTTTAGGCCAGCAACCAACAAAATCAAGAAAAAATGCCATGCAGGGGCCTTCAACTGGAAGTAAAACAAACACAACAAAAAAGAAATGCATGTAACAGAAAGCAAAAATTAGGTAGTGCCGATTCGAAACAGTCAGAATGGAGATGAAGAAATAAATGTGAAAGGGAGAATTGAAGTGGAATCAGAGTGTGGACGTACAGTTGAAGTTGCACCAGGTGGTTACAGTCGAGCAGATAGTGTTGCAGTTGCAGTTGCAGTTGACAGCTGGAGTTGAAGTGATGAGTCACCACTTCAACGCCAGCTCAGTGACACCAATGCCAGCTCAGGAGCGTTGGTCAATCGTGTATGTCCTTTAAATCCGACCCTAATTTTAGGGTCGGTTTGGGGAAACTCGACCCTAAATCGAAACTCATCCCAAGCTTAGGGACGTTTTTTCAGAAACCGTCCCTATTTTTAGGATCGGATTTCAATCCCGACCCTAATATTGGTGCGTTTTCAATGTATTCAGTCCCGCTTCCATTTAGGGACGTTTTGAACCCCGACCCTAAATTGAAACCCGTGCCTAAATTAGGGACGTTTTTTCAGAAACCGTCCCTATTTTTAGGGTCGGTTTTCAAACCCGACCGAACCCATCCCTAAATCCGCCCCCAAAAAATAGGGTTGGTTTTCGTTAAGGCATGCACGATTGAGGAACGCTCCAGTGACATGTCACTCTGCCACCTCAGGTGCCACATCATCTGTTGAAGTATGTGGCAATGACACCTCAGTGGCCACATCACTTTTCCAAGAATGTGTCAATGCCACATCACTTGAAGTGTCAGGATCTGGATTCCAAAATCTGACAGCTGGTAGAACCCCAGTGACTGGTAGAACTTCTGTGAGACCAGTACTGTGGACCCCAAATTGTGGGGGAGTTGAAGGCTGCCACATCAGGATTTCCCTGAATCAAGTTTGATAAGATAACTTTTCAGTTCTCATCACTTTTGGCTCACTTTTCGAGGTCGAGGCAAAATAACAACAAAGTATTAGAAACAACAGTCAAAACAAACTTTTTGTCTAGCATCCAAGTTGAGAGTTTACCTTTAAGTCACGTCCTGAGATGCCCCAAGCGACAATCGGAACAAACGACATGAAAGAAGGCACTTAAGAAATACACCGACAAGCACAACACTCACCCGGTACTCCAAATGCTACTTCTCTAAGATACTACAGGAATTGAGTACGATGAACGTGTTGCTGACATCGCAAATGCCCAAGCAGCTATCGATTGGGATCAGCTCCTCAAGGGCAGACTTTCCAAACAATGGGCAAAACACCAGGACCAACATCTCAAAGAATGCAACCTGAAGACAACCAGATGAATGGACAAACATGGCTGACAGGACTCATCCAAGAGTTACTCACTCAGTGGTTCGACCTTTGGGAGGTCAGGAACCTTGACAGACATGGGAAAGATGCACAGACCAAAGCACAAGCGGCGAACCGGCAGGCTATTCATGAATTCCAGCTTTTATACGAGAAATACACTGAAAACCTCAGACCAGAACAGGTCTGGCTTCTCCAAACACCAATCAACACATGCTCCCAATGGCCCACAGCATCAATCCGACAATGGATCAATACATGGGAACCAGTCCTTGAATAGGGTTAGTAACCACACAGCTTGAGACTGGGTAAATAACGCGGGACTTCCACCTTCCACCTTCCCAATTTCCTCCTGCATCCGCTTCCGCCCCCCTCCTGCTTCCTTCTTCTCCCAGGACACCCAGCAACTCTCCATGAATCCATTTGGCCAAACCCACAAACTCGTTAGGGATATATATCCGGCAAATGTCAGCTATATACTTGATTTTAAAAAAACTCAAGTCTATTAACGGATTCAGACAAGCTGTGCTTGAGGACGACCCACAATACTAGGCTCAGGTATTTCCCACAGTCAAGCTTGCTCACCGGCCACATGCGACCCGCAGGGTGTGCAACTGCTTTATGGGATCTAAATGATGAGTAAACTCCATGGCTACGGCAAGTGTGGTCATTCTACCAAGGATTGCAATGTCATCAAGAAGATGGTGGCGTCAGCCAAAACTAGTAAGTCGTATAACAAGCCCAAGTATAAAAACGAGACTTGGAAATGTTCTGCCGATGATACCAAGAAAAATAACAAGAAGGACTTAGCTGTTGACAGCAAGACTGTCAAGGTAAAGGGGTTGCAAGCTCTAGCAGCAAGACAGCTAAGGTGGCTGTTTCTGTACCAAAAATAGTCCTTGAGTAGTCCTTTTTAAAATAGTGGTTGTTTGAGTGCATTAGGCCAATTTGTCTCTTTTGAAGCTTGCTATTTTCCTATATGGGTATGGAGTTTGAAGTTACATTTACATGGGTTGTTCTCCAGTATCAGAGGGAATCCAACACAAATTTTCTAAGGTGCATAAGGATTTGATTTGTCTTTTGAAATTTTTAATGAATGAACCACATATATAGTCACCTGCTTATCTTCTTCATACTAGATGCAAAGATGAACTACACTTCAAACTCTTGGGCCAGAGCACCTCATCCTGGCGACTGTCAATCAGGTTGTCAGTGCTACCCTGGCGTGACTCTTTCAGAACATGGTTCAAATCCTGCATTCCCAAATCACTCCTCAAGAACACCTTCCAAGGGCCATTCTCATTTCCTGTGACTACAGACCCAGCAGAGGCATAACATCCTGGATGCAACAATCCAGATACATATGTGTCAGCAATGACAAGCCCATTGCCATCAATGTAGTGTCCACTAACATGGGCACTGTCAACAATGACGCAGCCTTTGAAGTGCAGTTTACCATACTCATACAGAGAATTTCCAAAGTACCAGAGGTCACCTTCCACATCAGCCCCCATGAATCGAGCATAGTAGGCAAACATGGGTGTACCATAGAGAAGGATTACAAGCCAGTTCCCAACTCCAAACATCCATACATTGTTGATGTAGATTCCAAAAACATCTTGCTGAACAGTGTGAGGCAGACTCAGCATCAAGCCCTCAACTGCTCTTGTCGAGATGACCCAAACAAATAGCTGCAGGGAAAAGGCTCCCGTCAAACCAAACATGGTGATGACTGTGGAGGAGCTTTTCAAAGCGGCAATGCCAACCTCAAAGGCTGGTATGAGTGACACAAAAATGGCAATATTCAATAGAAGTTGTGTCACTTCTGGAAGGAGTAAGGCAGAACTGCTGGGCTTCCATGCCTTGCCAGAATGATTCAAATCGTAGACACTATCAGAAACATTGGACCTTGGAGGGATTGTTGATCGCATCACTTTGACACCAGCATGAACATTGACACCATATCCAACACTGCTATTAATGAGTTCAATCTTTGAGTCTGCTGGGGTGGTCATATCCAGGGTAATTGTGCCAACAAATGATTTCCGGATCTTCAAAAAATCAACCTTGGAGGGGAAGAAGATGATGTATGGGTTGTTGAGGATTGAATCCATATCAACATCAAGCCCATGGAAGAAAAGGATGATGTTCCAGAGTCTGGACTGGCCAAAGAAGGGAGTCAGTGTCCAAGAAGCCACACGGAAGTGGAAGTCACAGGCCCAGTTGGTTGCTCGATGATAGAGTGATGCCTCATATTGATCCGATGGATCCCTTCTTCCAATTAGAGTCCACTTGAGAATAATGCTTGTCAGAAGGGCAAGGAAAGAGGAGGCTGGAAAAAGCAAGATCCAATGGAGGATAACTTCATAGCGCCAACTGGGCAAGATTTGGTTGAGTGTGACATGGACCAAATAGGACAGGGAAAAGAAGTGATAGGCTTCAATGATTGTCCAAGCCACTTTGAAGAAATCAAACATAGATTCTTCAAAAGAGCTTGATTCTTGATGACTGGTCGTGCCAGCATTGTATGCTGGGTTCCCCCTGGCAAGTACCGCTTCTGGAACCTGAGCACCTTCTTCAACAACAGACAACTTCTCTACTTTGCTTCCATCTCCGATCTTGGCTCCAGGGCTGATCATGCCAGACACATTGCTGCTGCTTCCAACATCAATTGGACGGAAGGTGATTATGGCGCTTGATTCTTCAGACTGAGAGAATTTTCTGCATTTGATGGGATACCCAATAGTGGCATTCTCCCCCACTTTGACCAGATCATATTCACGGATGTAAGATTCAATCTTGGAGGACCAAGCCAGGTCTGCTCCAAGAAGCCAGTAGAAGAGCCAAATGTACTTTGTTTCAAGAACAAATGGTCCCACAATAAACTCCCAGACTTCAGTGAGCCTGTCCATGAACCACCAGCGAAGATAATCCCAGGATTGGATCTCAAATTGTTGTTGTCGGTACTTCCCAACAACAGCATACTTCAAGAATACCACTATGAGGGAGAAGCATAGGAGAAACAGAGGGAAAGTCATAGGCAAGAGTACCCAAACCAATGGGTCATTGCACTCTCCAACTTTTCCTGGGTCACAAAGGTCCATTACCGAGGAGACAAGAAAGTATGACGGAACAAGTGACATCAATGGCACAAGAAGAATCAGAAGGGATCCAGGAGTCTGAAGGATGCCAAGTTGTAGTTTGATGAGCTTTGATCTTGATGTGTCCCAAAGAACATCAGCATGGGCACCAGCTTGATCAATGGGAAAGCTCTTGCCCTCTGAGACTGCCAAGAAAACTGAAAGTGCCTCAGGTGTTGGGTAGAGCTGTTCAAAGTTGGCAGGGAGCACCACATGTAACACTTCTTCAACCTTGTTCCTCAGCTCGGCACCCTTGAGAGATGTGAGTCCATTTTCAGCCCAAGTCTTGGATGTATCGACATGTGATCCAAAGACAGACATGATTACATTGACATATCTGACGGAGAAATAATCTGGAACTGTAGCTCCAGAAACTGCAGTATCATGCAACATGGGGTCTGCAGTGCTTGTCTTTGCTGGAAGGTTTGCCAACCCCCACTGGTCAAACTTGGACAGCCAGAAATGTTCATCAAGAGCAAGGTGATGTTTGCTCTCTGGTTCCAATCGGACGTATCCACACTTTTCTGCACAGGAGAGGTTCAGCTTCCCAAAATAATGCAATGCTCTTCTTGACAAGATTGGTTCATTCTGAAACTTGTTCGACATCAGATTCCTTCCCATGGCCTGTGTAACTAGGTGCAGACTAATCAACCTTGCATAGAAGAAATGTGCATTGACATCTCCAATGACACAAGGTAGCAACAATTTCGACAACATCCAGCTGGAAGAATTTCTGTCTCCGGCCCCTGAAGATAAGAATCAACAAGATAGCACAGTGAGATTTTGACATAACTTTCCAAGATGGATTTGTTGAGAAAAACAACTTACAGGCAACAAAATGCATATTCCAATCAATGTACAGGTTATTCGCAGCACTTGTATTGGATGAAAGCTCCATCAAAACCTGGTTGGATTGAGTTGTGACTGTCTTTACAAGATTTGTAGCAAGTCTCCTACCAACTTCTGAATTTTCATTGTGTCCATCTTTTTGCTCGAGCCAAATAGCCTCTAACATGTTTAGACACAGGAGGCTGTTGATTCTTTCAACCTGTGCATTGCTGGTTGGGCCTTGAGCTGATATCAAACTCTGTACGATAAGGTTCAGTAGTCCACGCACTGACCTGTTCTTTATCCAAGTAAAGAAAGGCAATTCCCCATACATAGGGTCTTTTTCTGGAAGGTCAAGCATCTCTTGTAGCTCGGTTGGGACTGTTTGAGTAGTCTCATGCGTCTTTTCCCACTCAGCATCATTCTGCAACTTCTGTTGAATGCACTTCGTGTTAAACATCATGAAGGTTGTCACCCATTGAAGGACAAAAATTTGGTGCACAAGCTGCAAAAGGAAATCTTTCCTGTCATCAATCAAAATCCAGTCTGGATTTTCACATAAGGTGTCAGCAAGCTGGCAGATGGTTGGGTGCTTGTCCTCAAGATGCTTCAATATTTGGGAGCACATGGCTTGCATTGCAGCTGTTGTCTTCGTTGCCTTTGACCAAGCCTCGTCAATGCCAGAGACCCCAGAAAGATGAAGCTCAGAGAAGTACTCCTCCAGCTTGTTAGGGTTGCACTCTACAGCATGAACAGCTTCCACAGCTTTGCTGGGGAGTGTATTTGTTTGGTTAAGGTCAATATCAGGACACTCCTCAAAGCTGCATTTTCCAGTACTCATTGATTGCCTCACAATTTCATGTTCGGTTTCTTCATTCAGATAAAACTCATTGCTTCCAATGCCACGCATTGAAAAGCTTCTCTCAAGGAATGAGGGACGTTGGCTCTTTTGAAGAGGAGTAAGAGATTCCTGTCTCTTGAATTGAAGTAGTATGGAAGATTCTTTCCAGTCACCAGCAATCGTTGTCTGCCTAATCTCACTTCGCTTCAGCTTGCCAGAGGTGGTTTTTGGTGTCACACCCAATTTTAGGACCACTACCTCTGAGGCAAACAGCCCCTGGACCTGGGATACATGGTTGGCAATTTGAACAGCCAAGTCTTCATTATCTGACGTGTAAAAACCTTTACGGCCCTCCACAGTAATACCAACACTTGCATCACCATGCTGGAAAGCACTGGTCCTTCCTGGGCGGATCACATCTCCAAAAGTTTCATCAATTGACAGCTCCACGTCTGTTGGATAGTGGTTCTTTCCATTGATGATGATAAGATCTTTGCTTCTTCCAGTGACATAGAGCTGCCCATCCACAACTCTCCCCAAATCACCAGTGTCTAGCCAGGTGCCATCATAGCCAGGCAAATTGTTGGCAAAGGTAGAGGCAGTCAGCTCTGACTGGCCATAGTACCCAGATGCCACACAAGGAGACTGGACCCAGATGGTCCCAACTTGTCCTTCTTCAACCTCCTTTCCATCCTGGACAATTCGAAGCTTGACAGATGGGGAGTCTACTGGACCGCAGCAAACAACCCCATCAGAATCTGGGTAGGCAGGTCCTCCGGTCAGAAACACAACAGCCTCGGCCAGACCATAGAGGTTGTAGACATGTTCTCGTTTGATAGAAAGGGTTTGTGCCAACTCCTCCACTACATGTTCTTGGGTTGGTTCCGCAGCAAACATAGCATGTGTGACATGACTCCAGTTGGCTTTTCTGTTGGCCTGTTTCAACCGTTTCAGTAGCAATGCATAGGCAAAGTTGGGAGCAGAAGTATGAGTGGCTTGGTAGATCTCTACCATATCAGTCCACAACAGTGGCCTCATGATAAAGTCGATAGGTGATGCCATGATGACATGAACTCCGGCATAGATAGCACTCATAAACCCCGACACAAGTCCCATGTCTGAGAAAGTGAAAGAGTCAGATATAAGAAGTCAGGAGAACTGTCAATCTCTTTTCCCTTGGGAGCAGGTACACAAAATGTTGCTTACCGTGATATTGTGGTAGCCACAAGGCTCCCACAGCGTTTGTGCCTAATACTCGTGAAATGGCCCAAATGTCTTCCACCAGGTTGTTGTGACTGATCATGACTCCTTTGGGGCGTCCAGTACTGCCAGAGGTGTACTGGATGAAACAAATGTCTTTTGGCTCTCCCACAAATGTCTCGTACTCTTTGGGCTTTTTGGGGTTGCTCTTCTTAATTGAGAGTTTGTCTGTTCCAATCCACGGAACACCAGTCTTGTAGAGGACACTTGCTGCGGTCATGGCAGTAGCAAAGATACTGGTGCTTAGGGCGTACTTGGCTCCGGCATCCTCCGCAAATCTGCGGAACTTTGGCATATCAGTCTTCAGCTGGTTGGGATTGGGTGGATAAATGGAACATGGGATGAGCCCAACCTTCATGGCTCCAAACATGCCGGCCAAGAACTCGAGACCAAAGGGATAGGCAATCATGACACGGTCTCCTTTTTTGCATCCAAGCTTGAGGAGACGAGCAGCCACGGCATTGGATTCGTCCTCCAACTGTTGGAACGTCATCTTGTTCTGTTCTTTGCACTTGATGTCCACCCAAGTAAAGACGACCTTATCAGGAGTCTCCAGGGCATGGTGGGCGAGGGCCTCGAGGATAGTTGAGAAAAACTTCATTGTTTACAGTGCTTTGACGAGGGTTTTCCTTCCTTGTGTCCTTTCATTCTTCTTTTTTATGAGGTGGACAGGAGATTCGATTCGTTACCGTGGAGAGGAGGGTCAATCGCGCTTAATTAAGTATCTGCCTGTGTGCAGCCTTGGAAGACGATGATTCTCGTGGTTGTGCCTTGTTTGTCATTTTTACCGGTGGTGCTTCCCTGCTCTCAACAGAAGCGGCAGGAATTAGAAGGGTGCGCGGATCCGAAGCGCTACTCATAAATTTTTTAGAATGACCGTGGAGGCTCTAACGCTTTCGACGTTCCTCGCTGGGATACCGGCACAGCCACAAAGTCCATGATGGTGCGTTTGTACGTTTGTACGTTTGTTCCAGTGAGCCTTCCCAATAGTTACTCTGGTGCCACCAATCGATCGTGACAAAAAACTGGGCCTGACATTGCGATCTGTTCGTTCCAACACTGAGAGTGGTTTAACATTAGTGCTGGTAAGGCAGTGACGATGTATTCAAGAGTAAAGCCACCCACTGTAAGAAGACTATAGGTGCGAAACGGCGCAGCAAATCGGACCCCTCGCTTGAACCAGTGCTGGCTAGCTAGCAAATTGTGAGCCTTCGTTCTATTGTTGCCTTTAGCAGCTGGTTCTGGTACATGTTTTGAACGGGAAACATAGAAGTTGATTCCCAAGGTTGTAATTTTCTCAAACTCCCAGCTTCCCGGAATTTGCAAACCTCCCCATTTCCAGCCTAATACGGCGATGAATTTCTTTCTGTTGGATTCGACGCATAGTATGGAAGTGGGCGTCGAGGCCTTGTCAATTTTCCATGATTCGATTCTCATGGTTCTCTTGTTTCGGCTGCGGTAGGATGCACCTCTTGCTTGGGTACCGGCATCCGGTTGGGGTTTGCTTCATGTATCTAACTTCTCGCTCTTTCACTGGAAAACAATCCTTGCCAGCCAGGACCGTTGTTAAAATTGCCACTGGAGGATAAACCAAATCTTCTATTTAAGAGACGCCTTAACACGTCTCAAAATAGTTGACGTATCATAGGAGACTTGAGAGACCTCCTATTTACAGGAGACGTCTCTTAAGCAATATGAGACGTATCCGTGGTAATTAATAGGAGACGTGTCCTAATACATAAGAGACGGCAACTATTTAAATCGACGTCTCCTTTAAATAGAAGACTTAGGATGTGCATGACTCCTATTTTAAAACGGCTTAGGCGACGTACCCACGACTGAATCTTCATTTCCACAGAGGTCCAGGTTATGTAAACGCACTACATGGTATCGCCATCATGTTGTCGCCATCGCATTCCCATCAATGGGGGCTTCGGGTTACCGGTACACGTGTATATGGCTGCTTGTGCAAAACTTCTTTGCCGACACCCTACCGGTACCGGTACATACATATATTGGGTCAACCCTGCAGTACGTGTTTTTGTGCTGTAACGGTACCGGTAGCAGGTTTCAAAGACGGGGCAAAGACGGCGTACCAGGTACCAGTAGTGGATAATCGCGTTGTCGTTCATCATAAGTCTTCGCGTCGCTCCTTTCCCTAGCCTGAAGGCAAAGAAGAAAATGAAGACACTCGCTGCAAACAAGAGGATCCTGTACCGGTAGACTACCGGTATACGGAGGGGGGCTGTATCGCTTAACTGAACATAGCCGATCTTCGTCGAAAGCATGCTTGACGACCAATGCGGGCATTCTTGACTTGGGAATTGCACCGACTACAGGTACGTGGTGGTGCCAGTGGGAATACAAACGAAGCGTGTTGGGCAGCGGAGACTGAGTTTGGATCCTGAGCAAGGATTAAAGATTTTGCGTTCGTGTTTCTTTTTCTGCTGCTGCCGACACTCGTGTCGTTCGATTGACCGTTTCGGTTTGCCGCTGGATTCGATTCACTTTCAGTTTCGTGGCTTCGTGGTATAGCTCCGCTTGTCGTCGAGGAAACCTCTATCAGCAATCAACACTGATTCGATTCGATGGCTTGGTAGTCCTCTGCTTTCTGCTGGGACTTCTCGGTGGCAACATTGCAGTCGTAGCTCATATCACTCCTGTACTAGTTGATTTTCGTACCGGTATCTTCTCTCCTGTATGATTCCTACCGTACGACTTGGTTCCGAAGGGTAGTGTTTGCTCCGGCAGCGCTGTGCTGGTTGGACTCGACTAGATCCCGGCACCACTCCTAGCTAGCTTGCTTGCATGGCCGCCACTCCTGCAATCCTGCACTTCGGCATGCAGATAGATGGGAGACGAGTGTCCTTCGTTTTCGTATCGGCACTGCGCTGCACTTAGCTGTCGTACGAGGGCTATCTAATGCCTCGAGAAGTCGCATTGCTTTCTTTGATCAGCGATACCTCGCAAGAGTCCATTGATCACAAGGATCCAACTCGTTGTGCGAGTTTCAAGTTACGTGTGATGCCAGCGCAAGCTGACTACACGTTGATCAACTTCTCCATGGCAATTGCCCTTCGTTCCATCCTGAAGTGGACTGAGAGGGTTCTACGAGTTCTCAGGGGACTCATTCTCAACGTCGCTGTTTCCGAGAATGCTCGTGACGAGTGCATTCGTTCTCTCACTCGAGGAACAGTTCTCACCTGTTTCAACGAGTCTATCCAACGTCAATTGGATGCCCATCATAATACGGAATGCAACACTGCCGCTCATGCTTTGACGCAGGACAATGTGATTAACCTGGTGTCCCTACAAGGCCTTGGAAAAGCAGAAGCGCTTCATGCGTCGCAAGATTCGTAAGCCTACTGACATGAAGACATGCGAGTACGTGAACCATCTTCATCATATTAACTACAATGAAATTCCCAAGTTGCATCCTTTCCGTACGGAGAATCGTCTCGCTGATGACGAGATGGTGGACATCCTAGTCTATGGACTGCCCAAGTCGTGGGTTTAGGAGATGGATTGCATTGGCGTGCTTGTATCTACAACGACGCTCGCACGAACGAATAATGCAGATATGGACAGCTCATTCAATAGAGATGTAACGGGAATGATTCAGCAATAGTTATTTTATCAAACTACATCAGATGTATACTTTTTGATGTAATTAAACTTCATCGGATGTATCAAAATTGTTGGAGGTTGAATCACTTACCAGATTCCTTGAAACCTTGGCACCCATATCACTTCGTAAGAACACTTTCCATGGACCATGTTCGGCAGCCGATACCACCGAACCAGCAGAAGCGTAGCAACCTGGATGCAATAGCCCGGACACATATGTATCATCAATGGTAAGCCCATTGCGATCAATATAGTGCCCACTCACGTGGATGCTATCAACAACTGTGATTCCTTTGAAATGTAGACACTCATACTCATAGAGGGCATTCCCAAAGTACCAAAGCTCTCCTTCAACTGCTGCTCCCATCATTCGGGCATAGTAGGCAAACATTGGAGTTCCATAGAGAAGGAAAACAAGCCAGCTTCCTTCTCGAAAAATCCAGACATGGTTGATGTAAACTCCAAAGAAACTCTGTTGAGCATACTTTGGCAAAGCCATCAAGACCCTTTCAACTGCTCGGGATGAAAGTAACCATAGGAACAGTTGAAGAACAACAGCTGCCGCAATGCCGCATATAGTAGTGGAAACGGAAGAACTCCTTGTGGCAGCAAGGCCAATCTCATAGGCAGGAATGAGGGAGGCAAAAATCTCGAAATTTAAGAGCATTTGAACCACTTCTGGAAGGAACAAGTCCATAATCAAACCAAGCTTCCATGCCTCTCCAGATTGGTTCAAATCATAGACACTTTCTGATACATCCGATCTCGGGGGAATTGCAGATTGCATAATCTTTACACCGGCATGTAGAGTAACATTGTACCCAACACTGCTGTTGATGATCTCAATCTTAGAATCACCTTGATTGGTAAAGTCTAGAGAAATGGTTGCAACGAATGATTTCCGGATCTTGACAAAGTCGACTTTGGAAGGGTAGAAGATTAGGTATGGGTTGTTGAGGCCCGATTCCATATCAACGTCAAGGCCATGGAGGAAGAGGACAATGTTCCAGATTCTGGACTGGCCAAAGAAGGGAGTAAGAGTCCAGCAAGCTATTCGGAAGTGGAAGTCACATGCCCAATTGGTTGCTCGGCGATATAGTGAACCATCATAGTCATCTGATGGGTCTCGTTTCCCAATCAGAAGCCATTTGAGAGCCACACTTGTAAGGAGGGCAAGGATTGAGGAGGCTGGAAAAAGCAAGATCCAATGCAGAATGGTGGCATAACGCCATGGCGGCAAGATTTGATGGAGCAATGTATGGACCAGGAAGGAGAGTGTAAAAAAATGGTAAGCTTCAATCATGGTCCAAACAATCTTGAAGGCACCCAGCACTGTTTCCTGCTCTTGGATTGGTTCTGAATAATGGTGAATCCCAGAACAAAAGGCGGGAATTCCCTTGGCAAGGACGTCATTTGGCAGTTCAGCCCCTTCTTCTATTACGGTCAACTTCTCCACCTTGCTGCCATCACCAATGATTGCACCGGGGCTAGCCATCCCAGAGATCTTGCAGTTGTTTCCAATGACAATGGGGCGGAAGATCATTTTGGGACATTCTTCATTGGATTGAGAAAACTTCCTACACTTCAATGAGTGGCCAATAGTAGCATTGCTCCCCACTTTGACCAGATCAAATTCGCGGATGTAAGCTTCAATTTTGGCTGACCAGTCCAAGTCTGCTCCAAGAAACCAGTAGAAAAGCCAAATGTACCTAGTCTCTACAAAGAATTGCCCCACCAGTGACTCCCAAATTTCCATGAGCCTGTCCATAAACCACCAGTGAAGGTAGGCCCATGACAAGATCTGGAACTGTCGAGGTTGGTATGTCCCAATTACTGCATACTTGCAGAACACCACAACCAAGGAGAAGGATAGGGTGAACATAGGAAAGGCCATGGGCAAAAGGATCCAAAAGGCCGGACTATGACACTCGGAACTTGTGGTAGAACCACAATGATCCATAATCCAACTGCCAAGGAAATAGGTTGGGACAAGTGAAACCAACAGTAGTAGAAAAATCACAATGCACGCAAGACCCTGGAGTATGCCGAGCACTGGCTTGCTGCACTTTGATCTTGAACTATTCCACTCAAACTCACGGTGGCCAACATCATGCTTAGGAAAGCTCTGGCCCTCTGATGCTTTCAAGAAGACTGAGAGTGCATTCGGTGTTGGGTAGAGCCTTTCAAAGTTTGCGGGAAGTACCACATGTAACACTTCTTCAACCTTGTTCCGCAGCTCTGCACTCTTGAGAGATGTGAGTCCATTCTCAGCCCATGTTTTTGGTGTGTCCACTTCAGAACCCAATACGGACAACATTACATTGGAATATCTAGCAGAAAAGTTGCTCGTGGTTGGTGCTTGGATGTCTGACTGTCTGGGATCAGCTACTCCACTACCCCTCAAGCGATTTGATGGAACAATAGTCTCTCGCTCAAGCACAGGGTGTGGCTTCATGCCAAAGTTCTCTAGCACAGCATTGGATGCTAGAATTCCACTAACAATGGCGTCCTCGTGTAGCATTGTCCCTCGTGTCCATCCACCAGCAAAATAGGTAGAATGCTTCCCTTGATGCTGTAACAAAGAGTTTCGGAGCTCGATGGCCTTGCATGTTATTCTGGTATGCGTAAATGACATCATCTTCACCGGAGAATCAAACTCAAGCTCTTCGTATGTGTTATAGGCATGTGTAACATAAATTGGTGTTTTGCCATCTGTGTCTGCAGGTTCCAAGCAAGGTGGTCCAACAGTTAGCACAATAGACAGCAACTCGATCAAAATGGATTTCAAGGTGATACTTACCACTTGGGAATGATGACGTCAAAGGGATGGTGTCAGAAGCTGTGGGCAAACTGGATTTGCTGCAATCCAGAATATTGGCAAACAGAACGCATGGTGTCTTGCTGTCAACCCATTTTGAATCTTTGTGCAACACAACTGTCTCCAAGGGGCAATCAAACTCAGTCAGAACATGCTCTTGTGGTGATATGGAATTTTCAAGGACGTGGGCAGCAGCATTTGGTGGAACTGCCAACACAAGCTTGTCAACTTTCACGACATCTTCATTGCCATGGGAAGATGCGCAGAGTGTGACTCCAGAATCATCACGGCCGACCACTTTGGTGGCTACATTGGTCCAAACCTCCACACCTAGGTTCTTCAATTTTGCCTCAAAAGCTTGCATATATTCTTTGTTTCGAAGTCGGAGCAAGTCATTCTTGCTAATGCTTGCAGCTACAACAAACCAAGCAACCAGTTCCAGTGGGATATTGAGGTAGTCCTGGATCTTCTGCCCAGGAAAGTAGCTGACAATTTTGCCAATGTAGCAATAGACAACAAAGTGCTGATCATATCCATTCTGGTCAAGAAATTGACCAATTGTCACATTCTGACCAGAGCAAGATTTGTGAATTCGTTGCATCTCAGCAATGAAGCGGCTGATCTCTGACTGTGGAACCTCAGGAATGGGCTCAGACTTTTGAGAAACCAATCCACGAGCTTGCCTTGACTCGCCAAGATGAATTGGTGCCACCCCAAGCTCCTTGGCCAGAACGATTAGATTTGGTGACAGTTCCGCAATAAACACACCGAAAGCAGGATTGCGTTCATGCCCAAAAACTTCCACGTGTCTTGCATGTCCACCAATGTGCTCATTGCGTTCCAGCAGTGTGACTTTGATGTTTCGTTGAGCCAATCGGAGTGCTGTGACAAGGCCAGCAGCTCCAGCTCCAACAACAGCAACATGCAGCTGCTTTTTATAGCCTGAATCAAGGGATCTAACAGGAAAAGTCATTGACCTCTGCAATAGTTCGTTTTGAGTATCTTCGTCAAGGTAGAACTCACAGCTAGGAACTCCATTCATTGAAAAACTTCTCTCCAGAAAAGAAGACATGTTACCAATGGCAAGAGGAGCAGTACCTTCCTTCCGTGCAAAGTGTAGCAGCACACATGATGCTTTCCACTCACTTGCAATAGTAGTCTGCCTGATTTCACTCCTCTTAAGCTTTCCAGAGGTGGTCTTTGGTGTCACACCAATCTTGAGAACAACAACCTCAACAGCAGACAACCCATGCACCTGGGATACATGATTGGCTATCTGAATAGACACGTCTGAGTTTGATGACTTGTCAAAGCCCTTGCGGCCCTCCACTGTGATACCAACACTGTCCTCCCCATGCTGGAAGGCAGTGGTCCTGCCTGGACGGATAATGTCACCAAATGTTTCATCTATTGAGAGCTCAACGTCTGTTGGGTAGTAGTTCTTGCCATTGATAATGATGACATCCTTGACTCTTCCAGTTACATAGAGCTGTCCATCCACAACTCTGCCCAAATCACCAGTATCAAGCCAGGTCCCATCATAGCCAGGCAAAGCATTTGCAAAGGTAGCGGTGGTTAGCTCAGACTGGCCATAGTACCCAGCTGCCACACGGGGTGATTGGGCCCAGATACTTCCAACCTGTCCATCCTCCACCTCTTTTCCATCTTCAACAATGCGAAGCTTTAGGGTCGGGGAGTCTAATTCACCGCAACAGAGAAGCCCTTCAGAGTCAGGGTAGGCAGAGCCACCTGTGAGGAACACCACAGACTCAGCAAGGCCATAGATGTTGTAGACATGCTCAGGCTGGATGGAGAGGATTTCAGCCACTGCTTCCACAACATGGCTTTGGGCTGGTTCACCACCAAACATGGCCCTTGTGACACAACTCCAGTTGGCTTTTCGGTTGGCCTGTTTTAACCTCTTGAGGAGAAGGGCATAAGCAAAGTTTGGGGCACAGGTAAGGTTTGCCTGGTATTTTTCCACCATATCACTCCAGAGTAGAGGATTGGCCACAAAATCCAGTGGTGACGCCATGACAAGGGAAGTTCCAGCATAGAGGGTAGTCATGAAGCCTGCCACAAGTCCCATGTCTATCGGAGCAAAAGGAAAATACAAAAGTGAGAGGATTGTGGCTTTTAAAAATGCAGTATTGGGAACAACAAATGTGAGCTTACCATGGTATTGTGGAACCCACAAGGCTGCCAGTGTAGAGCCAGCATTGGAAGCATTTACACCAGACATGGCAGAAATAGCAATGCAATTTTCTGCAAGATTTTTGTGACTGATCATGACTCCTTTGGGGCGACCAGTACTGCCTGAAGTGTACTGGATGAAGCAAATGTCTTCTGGTTCTCCGACAAAGGTCTCATAATCTTTTGGCTTCTTGCAGTTCCGTTTTTTGATTGTTAGCTTGTCGGTCCCAATCCAAGTGACACCAGTCTTGTAGAGGACACTAGCAGCAGTCATCCCAGCAGCAAACAAATTAGTCGAGAGAGCAAAGTTGGCTCCAGCATCCTTGGCAAATCCACAGAACTTGGGCATATCAGTTTTGAGCTGGTTGGGATTTGGTGGATAGATGGAACAGGGGATGACTCCAATCTTCATGGCTCCAAACATGCCTGCCAAGAACTCAAGGCCAAAGGGATAGGCAATCATGACACGATCTCCCTTCTTACATCCAAGTTTGAGCAGACGAGCCGCCACAGCATTGGACTGGTCCTCCAGCTGTTTGAACGTCATCTTGCTTTGTTCCTCACACTTGTTGTCCACCCATGTAAAGACAAGCTTGTTTGGGGTTTCAGAGGCATGGTGGTCTAATGCTTCAAGGATGGTGGTGGAAAACTTCATGGTTGCTGAAAGTACAAGCTTGTTGTGCTTTGTTCAAATGTCAAATGAGAGGAACCGAAAATATACTCCAAAAATCCACTTTGACCTTTTTTCTTTTGCCATCTACTAATAGCTAGCTAGCGAGCTGCCATGCAGTTTGCTATTCCTCGACGATCATTATAAGACTCGACTCGACACCACCAACACAAGGTTCTAACAGATTTGACATCCTTTCTGGATGGAACTTCTTTGATACTGAGCAGCTGCTACCCGTGTTATTTAATTAATAGCTGCCATGCATGGTGGCACGGAAATTTCCAGGACAGGTTTGACCACTGAGCCGGTGAGGCTTCTTCTCCAGTATTGGTATCAGGTACCATTCAGATAGCGACCGGAACTGGCTCAACATTCAATAACAAACAAAATATTCGCATGCAGCATTCAGTCGCAGTCAGAGGGCTACCGCGTACCGCGTACCGGTACAGCTAAACAGGCTCCCAAGGAATTCCCGCAGTCGGGGAATTACCAAAAATTGACTGAACCAAGTCTTAGTAAGCAAAATTAATTAAAATTGCCTTATGATTCAAAAGCTAGATGGTACTACCGTATGACACTTCGTAGCAAGCAAAGAACTCAGTGGTGCAGTGGTACATGTACTACTAGCTAGTACTTTTAATTAAAAAAATACCTGTTTTCGGCACTGCCAATGCGAAACTGGAACCGAGGCCAAGCGAATTGAATCATTCAATCCACGCGAATTGAATTGAATCAGAATCCACGCGAACTGCATGGCGCTTTGTCTTCCACCTTCCACCACCAAGACTCGACTCTCCATAACAGACTTGATAAATTAATAACAATCATTGATTTAGCATCCGATGGTTAGTAACTCTGCAGATAGAGGTGCTGCTCGAACTAGCTAGAAAGCACGATACCATTGCACATTGCACTAGTAGTACAGTAGTACCACTGACCCACTCGAGGTCTTACCAGGTAAAGCTTTACTCCAGTACTTGAGCTCCCGTAAACTAGTTTTGTGGGCACTCTATAAGCTGGCAGCTAAGCTAGCTAGCTAATTACTCCTACTGTACTTGAAGCTGGAACCAGAGATGACTCCTTTCTTTTACAGGGCAGTGCCTACCAGTACCACCCACTTGTGTTTCCTTCTTTCAGATTTCGGACCTGCCATGCAAAACTCAAGACGAGAGCTCAGTCGCGGGAAGAGCTGCTGGGGCAGCGGCACAGAAATCTGACTGCTCCGCTGGACTTGTTGACAGCTCTGTAAGCTGTTTGCTACTTTGAATAAGAGCGATAGAACCGGTATTCAAAGACAATAAAGATCATTGGTGGACTGAAATAATTAGAAAGAAAAGCCGTTGCGTGGACGAAGATCCCGGGATCTTTGTCTCATTCATTCTCGTTGCTTTGTTCGATACAACTCGATCGATCTTTGTCTCCGATTGCCGCTTATTGCTATCGATACTTCCACACGATACGAGTGGTACGAGTAGACTACGATCATGATGCCACTGCAATGGCGCGGTATTCTTCCCTTTGGAGTGAGCGGCGCAACGGCATCGTTGTGTCTGGCGGCCATCACGCACACGTACCTGCTGTTCCATTGCGCCCCGTACGTGGGGTACATGTCGACCATGTTACCGCATCAACTGCACGGCCGCGTGGCTCGTAACGTTTCCGTCGACTCGGTCGGTTGGTACGCAGGACTCTTGGGCACGGCATTTACGACGGGCCGTTGCTTGAGTTTCGTACCGTGGAAGATTTATCGTCATAGTAGTTCAGCCGGAAACAGCAGCAGTCTCGCGGGCGTCAAGAATTCGTTGCTGCTGAGTCTGGGCTTGTCGGCCGTGTGTTCCTTGTGGTTTGGACTGTCTCGAACGTACACGTCCGCCTTGTTGGCGCGGTTCGCCTTGGGCTTGTCGAATACGCTCAGTGGATGTGTCAAACGAGCGGCCATTGATCGTGGAAAGCAGTTGCGGGAACAACACAACACCAATGCTGCCATTGCGAGTCGCGAAGAAGAATTGGCGCCCGCACGAGTCTTGGCCGTCATGTGGTGGGGTTCTGCCTTGGGACCGTGTTTGGGGGGTGTCTTGTCCACTCCGGGGTTTACTTCGTTGTCGGAAGATTTACCGCAGTGGATTGAACTCTACCCCTTCTTATTGCCCAATCTGGTGGCGGCAGCCCTCTGTCTCATTTCCATGGCGGGAGTTTATCACTACATTGAAGTTGAAATTGAGCAGCAGGAGCCAACCAATCCACCCAATCCACCACCAGGAAATCCAAAAACAGACGAGGAGGGGGTAGAACAAGCAGAATCCAGTCCCCTCTTGAACAAGAAGAAACCAGCGACGGAACGAACGACTGCTACCGGTACTGCAGCCACCATTGATACAACCCAACAAAAAGAAACCATCCATGCCTTGAGAAATATTTGGAAAAGCCGCAATGCTCGATTTCATTTGATTGCCTATTGGGCTTTTTCCTTTGTCGTCGTGGCCATTGATGAAGCATTGCCACTCTATCTCATTGCTCGTCTTTCCGGACCGGGATTGTCCCCCAATCAAATTGGTTGGATTCTGAGTGCGGCAGGTATGATGGTGGTACTCAGTCAAAATCTCACGGCCAAACACATCTTTTCTGAAGCGGGAGGGTTATCCTTTTATCGCAATATACGGTTCTCGGCGTTGCTGGGAAGTGTCCCTAGTGTGCTGGTGCCACTTGTGCTGATACTCAATGGCGGAACGTATTACGATTTATTATTATTGGTGGGGTCATCCTCCACAGAAGAACAATCCGGCGAATTGTTGCCAGGAGCGGCCGGAGGAGAAGCTTTGGGACCACCGGGGTCGCTCAAATGGACATCCTTTCTCTTTCTGTTCCTTCTTGCGGGAAGCCTCAAGGTCTTTGATTCCATTTATTTTGCACTCATTGGAGTGGCCACAGGACGGACAGTACCTCCCTGTCATCGCGATGAAGTGGCCCGGATCATGACCCTGGGAGCACTCATTGCCCGCGCCATTGCCCCCGTTGTGGCGGGAGCACTCGTCTCCATTTTCATGTCGGATTCCATCGTTTCCTGGTCGCATCATGGAGATTCCGTGGTCTTGTGGACCGTCATTGGACTAGTGTTTGGGGCTGGTGCCGCCATTTTTTCCTTTCAACTCTACGAGCAGGCTGACAGAAATACGGATAATGATAATGATGAGAGACAGAGCCAAAGGTCCCAACGGCAGAGTAAGTGATCGAGTTGAGTCATACTGTGTACTCTACAACTGATGGGAGCCTCACCTACTACACCACACCCCCTTTGGAATTTTACACCGCCTGCAGGTTTATACCTCGACAATCGACAACGAGCTCAGGTATATGTTAAGCTTTGGGAAATTCACTATGATCAGGGATCAAGCACGGTGGGAGCCAAATGGAGGCGATTGGCACGCAAGGCCATTACGCTAAATCGAATGAAGGGAGCCTTGTCGCCGACCAATAAAAGTAAGTTTTGTGTCTTGTTTGGCGTTCGTGGGTGGGCTCTGTAAGAGAGTTGCGGAGTAAGTTGCTTTTGTTACACGAATGCCCGTATCTTACTCTTGATGTATGTGATGCGTGATACGTTGCCACTGCAATTAATTGAAGAATCCGATGATGACGATCACGACCCCGAGGCTGCTGCAGAAGTGGTCAGCAAAAAGAAACATAACAAGCGCACATCGTGGGTCGATCACGTTCTGAAACCGGGCATCGACATTGAAAATACACCATTCTTTATCCTCGGAACCCATAAAAACGACAAGTCATGTCTACCGCACGTCGCCACCCCTCCTCTCATGGAAGCACTACGACAACATTTGCCCATGTCATGTTCGGAAGATAACTTTTGGTTGAAATACAGCATGGTTCGGGATGGAGCATCCACGCAAGTACTCGCAACCAAACTTTTGATGGTAAAAAACACCTTTGTGGCCATTGAGACTCTCGATGGTGATGTCTTTGGTTGCTTCATGACCAGGGTAAGATTTTTGAACACATGGTTGGTTGTATCTTTCCGGTTAGATTCTATTCCAGGCTTCTCTAACTACATCCATCCGATGTGACACCAAAATAAGCCTTGGGAACGAACAAGTAAGTTCGAGCATGACGGCGAATCATTTCTTTGGCGGATGAAACATCGGCATAGCACAACACCAGCAACCGCTCCATTGGATGAGGATGCATTGAACGAGATTGCCAGAAAGGAAGGAGACATTGAGATTTATCGGTGGACCGGTGAGAACGATGAGTGTCAGCTCTTATCGCATGACCGGATAGCTGCTGGAAGCGGAATGGTCGAGGGACCTGGACAACAAGATGGCTTCGGCTTCATCATACAGGATGGATTATCGCAGGGTTCTTCCAGTCCATGCATAACATATGGTAACGATTCGACTTGTTGCTTGGCTGAGGTTCATGTGAACAGCAATCTTTCTCACGAATGGTGACACAAACGCTTCTCTACTACACGTAGGCAACCCCTGCTTGGTTTCCTCGGAGGACGACGGTCGATTCGAAGTAGCCAACATGGAAGTCTGGGCAATGACGCCGTTCCTGTTTGCCGAAGAAGCTGAGAAGAGCATATCCACCGTGCGGTTCCTGAAGGAGAATTTGAACGTTCATGGAGACAAGCCCAGCAGTGCCCAAAGTGCTTGGACCACCTTTCTATAGCGAAAAGAAGAAGAGTCTATCATCCCTTGCTTGCGTTTCATTGGGTCCCTCTCAATGCAGACGCAGAGCAGTAAGTGTACAATGTCGCTTGTATAGAAATGCATGTACCGTCTACGCGTTAAGTTCTTCCACCTGTCCAGTGCTCAACAAGTAGCTCCCCGTACATTGATCAAGTTTTATCATTCAGCCATTGCAGTGGCCACATAGTAGCATGCCGGCTCACGCTGTCAGTCTTCCTACCTTGGAAGGATCGGTTCTGAGTCATAGCTCTCCGCCATTGTCCTTCTGCCTGGGCTCAGCGTCAGAGATAGGTTGAAAGAGAATAACCTGGAATCCATCTTCTTTGGCAACCCTGATGTTGTCCTCGTCGTCATCTATCAGAACAACGCCTGAAGCAGCAATGGTTCCATCGCCAAGACGATGTTCACTAAAGTGTTCCATTGCCGCTGCCAGTTGGCTTTGCTTCCCCTCATCCAACCCATCCAAAAAAATGCCCCCACCAAACACGGGGATGTTGGACGGCTGGTGCATGGCATTACGACTGTGAGCAAACTGACGAAGCGATGTGTCTGTCACCAACTGGATCAGCGTTTTCTGCGAAGAAAACGTAGTAACGGCAAGGGGGATACCGCGCTTGACACACTCGTATAGGAGGCATTGCAACTCTGGCCTCACATGAGGAACGAGGTCGGATGCTGCGTGCCTCCACAACCCACCTGTGTGAATGTCAATGAGGGTTTTGTCAAAATCAATGGCAACCAATTGAATCCTCTTTTCCAGAATGAGGTTCAACATGCTCTCACAAGAAGGATACAGGGGCACCCCTGCCGCAACCTGGGGTTGTTCCGCATCCGTGTCGGGTGATGACAGGAAGATCACTGCCAGGGTACTAAGCAGAAGGAGCGAAAGGACCGCAATACTGATCCGCTTCTGGAGCAGCCGTCTGTTGTTCATCTTGACAGTTCCTTGAAGGTGTCGCCTGTGTTTTGTGCTGTCTGTGAGCTGCCTTGCAAGGAACCAGGATATATCGAAATTGAGGCGTGGCAAAAAGCACGTCTCGATCCTGGCGTAATGCTGAGTCACGAATGTTGAATGATTCAATGCAATGGGCTTTGCAGCAAGCAGAGCAAATCAGGTCCAGCGCTCGAGCTCTGTCCCCATCCTCGTCTTAGCTCTCTCTAATCCATAGTAACTCCCACCGTTGTAGGTCCAGCGGAGTGAGCATTGGCTTGTGATTCAACTCTAATAAGCAATAGTTACTAGCTAGGAGAAGAGTACTTTTCAAATACAGCACACAATCTACATTCAGTAGACACCAGCTTCAGACTCATACATTGCATCTTTCGCCGACTCTGTAGAGAAATGAGCAGTACCCTGGCTTCTAAAGGAACGCTTCCATGAATCATTTTCTTCTCGCCTACATTCAAAACGGTAGACTATCTATCTATCTGGTGGAGCTTCGGAACAGCGCCAGAGTCGCGGGGAAACAGCTGCTTCCTGTTCCGTTTTTCTGCTATGGTGATACGCCAAAAAAGAACAGAGAAGACTCGACTCCTTTCCTTGGAGATGCTGCTATCCTCAATGGCAAGTTTTAATCTTCAGAGCAGCTCGACCAGCCAGAGAGACAGTCATCAGTTAAGTTTTCTTGAGATGGGACTCTTTTCAAATGTATGGCCATACCGGGTCATGGCCTCGCCGTTGACGAATGTTCTTTAACAGCTACTTGGCAAAGCAGATGGTTGTGATGGATAGCGCACCATCACATAGGAGATAGATCTGTACTGTGCCTCCGCTGCCGTATTCCCCTGTCCTTCCGTTGGCGCACCTGCGGCGCGGTCACAGATACAGTGATGAGCCTGCGTGGGAGTTGATTTCGTGACGAAGCCTATGTGATCAGAGCACAGCGTTCCCTACTTAGCAAGAGAATCGCCTAAACATCATCAACAACTAGAGCAACACATCATTCGATGCATGAGTAACGGAAAGAGTACGTTCACTAAGATCGATACTGCAGCCCCTCCAAATCGAGAAGTCTGAATGAGATCCAGGACCCACAAAGTTGCGCTGAAGCATTGCCAGGCTCAGCAAAGAAAGGAAAAGTTCCTTATCGTAGTCGTAGTGGACGTCAACGATCCTCTTGGCAACTCGAGCAGTTCACATCACTCTGATTCCTCACTTTCAAAGACAGCCTTTGCATACATTTTTCAACGAAGCTGTTGTCTCGTCACAACGCAGAGTTTCTCTTGATCCCGCCGAAGACTCGAGTTACTCCTAGCTAGCCAAAGCTCAGAAGAAGACACAAAGACTCTGAACGAAAAGGCCAATGACAATGACCACCTCTCGGATACGACGTCGACAATGGCTCGTACCGTCGTTGCTAAGTGTCTGTGTTGCTACTGTTACGACAAGAACCGACGCTTTGATCAATGGTGGCTTGGACAATGACAGCATCCGATATGCGGTGGCCATGTGGCTCGACCACGAGGACGTGGCACGCGATCAGTTTGGTTCAATAGCAGACTGGTCAACCTGGCAAGTCACGGACATGGCTCATCTCTTTCAGGGGGCTGCGAGCTTTGATGACGATATTTCACAGTGGGACGTCAGTTCAGTGACCGATATGAATCACATCTTTGCTGGATGTCAGCAGTTCAATGGCAATCTGAGCCAATGGAACGTTCAGGTAAGAACAAATAAGGTCGAGTCAGAGTCCTGTTCTGTGCATCGGGTATCACTCTCCAACCATCCTAACTAATACAACGTCCATGCAGTATGTGACAGATTTCAGCTACGCCTTTGCCGGCGCCTCCAATTTCACGGCCGGGGATTCGTCGTCCCTGGGCCACTGGGATACCAGTAGTGCAATTACAATGGAACACATGTTCGTGGGCGCCAGCAGCTTCATTGGGGATGGCATTGCATCTTGGAACGTGAGGTCAGTCACTTCCCTCCAGGGAATGCTGTCTCATGCCGCTTCATTCAACCAGGACGTGAACTCTTGGGACATGAGCAATGTCGTGCAAACCAACGAACTGTTCCTTGGGGCATCCGCTCTCAATCAACAGATTTGCTGGAAGCAAATGCATTTTAGCTCACGGTTCTATCAGTGTTTCTGCGGGACCGATGGAGCATCCTTTGGGAGTTCCTGCGATTCGCTGATCCATCCATCGATTCGAGCCTATAGTGAAGCCTGCAACCCGGAAGGGGATATCGTCGAAGACGTTGTCTTTGCGAGACCAGCAGATTATATGACAGGGTTCGATCCACCAGAAGGATGGTTTGACGAAAACTATGGAGTGAGTGGCTTTGAAATCAACGTCGAAGAAGACGAGGAACCAGACGACCAAGGAGGCATTATCATTTTGGCGGCAGTGAGGCGGGAAGCCTCGGGAGCACGTCCCCAGTGCTCTGTTGCGCCAATAGCACACCTGGTTTTCTGGGCACTGAACACGATGCCAATGATCATTGCAGCAAGCAGACGTTGTCTGTAGCAGCCGAACGAGCCACGGATAAAGCTGCTAGGTTTTGTCATTGCTTCTCGAGATCATTTGGATACTGAAAATTTCATTGAATATAGGGAAAAGAAAACATGCCCCGCAGGGCCAGGATACCGGTAGTAAAAGGCAGAGAAGAAGAGGAGAGGGTTCTTAGCTGTAGATGCCATATGAGCTCTGCTTTCCTTTGGAAGGGGCACTATGAAGAGTACCCCATGTGAGTAGAAGCTTTTTGCTGAGCAAGGAACCTCAACGGCTTGATAGCTAGCCTCTCATGTTGTAGTCTATGTTCCTTTCACACGGCTAGCGCCCCAACTACTAGCCGTTTACCTCGGCAGTCTTGCTGCCAGAGCCCTCAACCCCTTTAATTGTTTTTCCTGCTACGGTGGTCCCTGCAGGTATAAGGGTAGGGTTAGAACACAATAAGTCAGCAAAAACTAAATAAGTTCCTAGGATGGTGCTTTTTTAAAAACCAGCTAAAGCTATTTACATGCATCTTAGTAGGGGGATCTGCTTCTACCAGGAAAAACTCTAAAGCCAGTGAAAGCTATATAACTAGTATTCTAGCTAGTGGTTAGGGGTAGAGATATCATGAGACATTTCTCGTGATACGTGAAATGATGCATCTGTAGGGCTACTTTGCAAGAAGTCAAACTCGATAACTAGACTATAAGAGATAGGACAACAGAAGTATGAACCACTACGTTCCTTATATTATAGAGCTGTCGCCGCTGCCTCGTTAGAGTGTATTCGGGGTAGTGATTGTTGAGATTTGCTCTTTTCTGTTATCCAGAAATTCATTGGATATTGTGAGCAGAAATGCCTCATTCTTGTACGTTGCCAAGCTGAACAGTCGCCATGAGGGCCGGGAATGGGAAATGGAACAACAGCAGAAGATGGTCTTTCTGGGAGAAAGAAATGACATGCCTGCTGGTTGTTAACTGCTGGTCGCTGCTGGATAATGCATCACTAAGCATAGATCGCGAAGATGTCTCCTACCGCTGGAGTCCACCATGATGAAGATGGGGATGATCTGTATGACATCCCCAACAGTCGCGCTGTTGTTCCACCACCCGCTCCCACTCCTGGTGGATTGTTGAGGGTTGACTTGGTTGGAACACCACTTGATACCCTTGGTGGAGGCTCTCCGCTTGATTCTGCAACTCGCCATGAGACTGCTGCTGTGCTTGCATCCTTGGCTAATGGTACCACACCCCCAGCTGGTGGCACAGAAGTTACACCAAATGAAGCAGAGAATTCCACTCCCAAAGGTACCAAACGAGCAACACCCATGAACAGCTCTCGTCACACCAAAGCAAAGCAGGGAGCTGCCCGAATTCATGTTGGAGGAAGATGCAAAACAACAAGAGGTCAGCTCTTTCATTTGCTTTCTACTGAAAGCCAAAAGGCAACCATTCGCGAGTTCAACAACAATCACAACTGTTATGGAACAATCAAGTCCGGCAGCTCAAATCAAGGCTACAACGTTGTGTTTGATTGTCTTCCCACTGATGAAAAGGAAGTTTTTATCAGACGCAAGAACCTGACTGCCATTCCCAAAGGATACGAGGAAGTCACCTTTGATCGGTCAAGTGATGATCCGGAAAAACTTGCAGAAATTCGAGTCAAGAAGAGCAAGAAATTATCTCCCTTTCAGGTGTGCAATGACAAGTTCCTCTCCCTGGAAGAAGCAGAGATGTCTGTAGCCAAGACGTTTGACATGCACTGGTCTAACGATGATGGGGCAGAATGTGTTCCGTGGAAGATTCTTCCAGACGGTGTGCATGTCACAGAAGCAAAGGATCCCATGTACTATCCGGATGGAGTAGCCTTCAAGAAGCAAGTTGACATTGGCGACTCTGGCGCCAATACTGATTTCGCGAAAGTGTTCTTTTAACACTTCATGCCAGATCTTACTGGGATGGCTGCCAAGATTGACAAGTTCCACTCGTCCATCAAGAGTCCGATGTACTCTACTGTCAAGTCGGATCGCATCCAGTTCTATGATGAGGACGGTTACTTTGGAAACAAGGATGGCGATTGGATGGTCAAGCAATGCTTCCTCCTTCTGATTGCATCTTGCCTGGAGACAGAGAATGGTTCTGATCTTTGGAAGCGAGGCCCTTCCTCTGGACGCAAGGAATACCCTGACTTTGGCCAGTATCTTCCTTTGAATTATTGGAAGGCTTTCACTTGTGCTGTCGGACTTTGCTTCGGCCCTGAAGAGTACTGGTACCTGGATAAGCGAGACGTTCCATGGGATGCTATCGTGCCAGCTGTCATCGGTTTCAACAAGAAGAGGCAGGAATTGTTCTGGGTTGTCCTCCTTATGCTCGATGAGAGCATGATTGGATGGAGACCCAAGTCCACCAAGACAGGAGGTCTTCCCAACCTGACATATGAGCCAAGGAAGCCGGTTCCCTTGGGAACAATGCTTAGGAATGGAGTGGAGTGCATCACCGGTTGTATTGCCATGAATGCAGAGCGACAGAACTTCAAGAAGTATCTTTACGCGGACAAAGAGGAACAGATTCGACAGAAGTCAAGTCTCCCTGGGAAACCCGACATGCCAGCACACACAGCAGAAGTTCTTCGTCAAGTTGAAGATGCTCAAGTTGTGAAGAATGGCTGGTGTGGAGGTGATGCTTGGTTTGGTTCAGTGGCGACTTGTGTTGAATTGAAGAAACGTTTCGGTGTACATTCCACCTTTATTGTCAAGAACAACAAAGCGTTCTATCCTATGGAAGTTCTTAATGCTGTGTTGAAGGCAAGACATGGTGATAAACCGGCAGGTCATTGGGTTGTCATGACTACTACTATTGCCGGTGTTGATCTATTGGCGATTGCTTATGCCTGGTCGCAGAAGGGGGTATCCTATTTTATTTCCAGTTGTGGGTCCCTCTAGCTACAGAACCATCCGAAATCAAGTACGAATCCAAGTTTGAGGATGAGTGGGGCAACACCGGCAGCAAGCTCATCAATCGACCCAAGATTTGCCATTTCATTTATGAGTATCTTCCCTTGATCGATGAACACAACAAGCAAAGGCAGAACCTTCTCGCACTTGAGAAGTGCTGGCAGACCAAGAACCCATGGATGCGAATTGTTACCACACTCACAGGATAGGCCTTAGTGGACTTGCATCGGTACTACCGCTACCAGAGGATTGTTGAGAAAGGACACAAGCGCGAGGCCATGGATCAAGTCCGAATAATGAAGATGGCCGATTTGGTTTGTGCAGGATTGAAGCCATGGATGGGACCCCGTATTCAGCGATCCTTTGGACAGTCATCCGATATTGGCATCGAGCGATGCAGGGATTCTCATGGAAACTTGAACCGAGAGGTCACAGCGGCACAACTTCGAAAGGGGAGAACTGTTGGCAATTTGGTCACAAAACAATGCTGGATTTGCAGAGGATACTTGGACAAGAATGGTAACCCCATCCAGTGCTGGACGTCCATGTGGTGCAAGTTCTGCCATGCTCCCTTGTGCAACAAGGATAGGACCAAAGAGAAAAGGTTTGGTCCTGATGGTCGCGACATGTCTTGTGTTGACACGCATTTTGGTGCATGTCATTCTGATACGTTTGGCTGTGGTGATCTCAAGGTAAATGGCCAGTGCTTCCCCAAGGCGGATCAGATCAATCAGCACCCACGTCGCAGTCGCCGGGGACCCTATTAATCATGTTCTTTCAGTAGTAGCAGCAGCGGCAGAGGCGTCATCGTCAGGTTGTTGTTGTTTGTAGTCAGTTTAACACGTAATAAAAATATCGAGTGAAGTTACTCGCGTGGTATTTGTAATGATACCTCTATTGCTAGCGATGTAATTGTTTACAGAAGTGTCCGATTCTCATGCTTGTTGAATGTATGAATATCCTCTAATTCTCCTCTTTCATTTCATCCAAACAGAATGAGAATCGGACATCTCTGTCAAAACTTAGAACACGAACAAACTCGTCACTTGAGATATCATGTGATATCGTGACATCTCTACCCCTAACCACTAGCTAGGGTATCTGCTTCTAGTACCTTGCTATGGGAATCTGCTTCTAGCTAGCTAAGCACAAGTTAAGCACTAGCTAAGCACTAGAGGTATCTGCTTCTAGCTAGCAAGCTAATAGGGGTATCTGCTTGTACACTGAAACCTTTCTGCTGAGGTTACACAGCTCCGCTGGCTTAAAACCCAAGTAGAGGCTGCTAGCTAGACTATCTCGATTTCGCCACAGCTTTGTAATACCACACCACCATGTGCCCCGCCCACTAAACAGCGTATGCACTTGCGATGGAATTTCCAGGGAATCAAGACTGAGTGGAGTACTGGAGTAGCGACTGTAGCGATGTTGAACCATGTCGTAAATAGTACTGTACTGCTTGTCGAATCGACTTTCTTATCGGGATTGCATCTTAGAGGCGGTTTACCATATTCGGAATATCTAGGGAAGCCAGGCTTTAAAGAAGTCTTGCGTCATTAATTTTCATCAAAACTTACCTGGCAACTGAGACGAATAGAACGAAAACAATGAAGCCAAGGAGCCATCTCCGAATTGGCCCAGGGTTGCAACAGGCACTCAACAGTTACAAAAATCCAGCCGCACTTCGAACGCAGAAGTTTATCCTCAAACCCATAACTTCTTCTGTTGTTTCTCGTCATACCATCAAGCACCAACAATAAAGATGTTGTTCCCAACTATCTTGGAGGCATTGGCACATCATGCAGCGAAGGCTCCAGACAAGGTCGTCTTCACCTGGGTCGACATCAAATGCAGGGAACAGGATAACATGACGTTCAAGCAGCTGGAAGATCAATCCAATACTGTGGCTGCACGTCTTCTGAAGCTGGGATGCCAAAAGGGAGACCGGGTCATGGTTGCCTATCCCTTTGGTCTTGAGTTCTTGGCCGGCATGTTTGGAGCCATGAAGATTGGAGCCATCCCTTGTTCCATCTATCCACCCAATCCTAACCAGCTCAAAACTGAACTAGCCAAGTTCCGTGGTTTTGCCAAGGATGCGAAAGCCAAGTACGCCCTAAGCACCAGTGCCTTTGCTGCTGGGATGACTGCAGCAAGTGTCCTCCACAAGACTGGTGTTACATGGATTGGAACCGACAAACTGCCACTCAAGAAAAGCAACTCCAACAAGCCCAAAGATTACGAAAAATTTGTGGGAGAGCCAGAAGATATATGTTTTATCCAGTACACGTCAGGCAGTACTGGACGCCCCAAAGGAGTCATGATCAGTCATCGAAACCTAGCAGAAAATTGCATTGCTATTTCTGCCATGTCTGGTACAAATGCTTCCAATGCTGGTACTACAGTGGGAGCCTTGTGGGTGCCACAATACCACGGTACGCTCCAATCTGCAGTTCCTCATCCGGGCTTTTTGAAAGCTGCAATCCTCTAACTTTTGTATCTTTCTGTTGCTCTGACAGACATGGGGCTTGTGGCAGGCTTCATGACATCCCTCTACAGGGGAATCCATCTTGTAATGGCATCGCCCCTTGACTTTGTTGCAAATCCACTACTTTGGACTGATATGATTGAGACCTACCGAGCAAGCCTTACCTGTGCCCCGAACTTTGCCTATGCCTTGCTCCTCAAGAGGCTGAAGCAGACCAACAGGACTGCTGACTGGAGTTGTTTGAGGCGAGCAATGTTTGGCGGTGAACCCGCCCAGAGCCATGTTGTGGATGCAGTGACAAAAACCCTTGCCATCCAGCCTGAACATGTCTACAACATCTATGGCCTTGCTGAGTCTGTGGTGTTCCTCACAGGTGGCTCTGCCTTCCATGACTCTGAAGGTCTTGTCTGCTGTGGTGAAGTAGACTCCCCAACCCTAAAGATTCGCATTGTTGAGGATGGAAAAGAGGTTGAAGAAGGACAGGTTGGAAGCATTTGGGCTCAGTCACCCCGTGTGACAGCTGGATACTATGGTCAGTCTGAGCTTACCACCGCAGCATTTGTCAATGCTTTGTCGAGCTATGATGGTACCTGGCTTGACACTGGTGATTTGGGCAAGATTGTGGATGGGCAACTCTATTTTACCGGAAGAGTTAAGGATGTCATCATTATAAATGGAAAGAACTACTATCCAAGTGATTTGGAGCTCTCTATTGATGATGCCTTTGGTGATGTTATCCGTCCAGGCAGAACCAGCGCCTTCCAGCATGGGGAGGACAGTGTTGGTATCACAGTGGAGGGTCGCAAGGGGTTTGAAAAGTCTGCTGATGGAGATTTGGCTGTCCAAATTGCCAACCACATCGCGCAATTTCATGGGTTGTTTGTTGTGGAAGTTGTGGTGCTAAAATTGGGGGTGACTCCAAAGACTACTTCTGGCAAGCTGAAGAGAAGTGAGATCCGGCAGACCACTGTTTCTGGTGATTGGAAGAAGTCTTCTGTGCTCCTTGGGCTCCAGTGGCATGAAAACATTCTCCCAATGGAGAAGGACAAGTCCACCAACAACCCTGAAATGCAACGACCTCGCTTTGGCCGGACAGAAGAGACAGATATATCATCCCATGGAGGTCTTGTTCACAATGAGGCAAGAGGGGCTGACTTGTCCAAAGATTTCAACTCTGCGCTTACCACCATCTTAGGCTCTGACTTTGACACATTCAAAACATGGCAGGAAAATGGACTCACATCACTAAAGAGTGCGGAGCTGAGGAACAGAGTGGAAGAGGATTTCCGAGTGGTCCTTCAAGCAAACTTTGCACAACTTTATGCAACCCCTAAAGAGCTTGAAGAGTTTCTGGTGTCATCACAAAGCCAACATTTTCCTTGTGCCGAGGCTGATGAGCATGTTGACTTTCACGGGAAGAGTCCCAGGTCACAACGCAGCAAACTTGAGATGAGTTTTGTTCAAGTGCTGGGATTCATAGGTATCACACTGGTGCTTTTGACTGCCATTTTCCCATCCTACCTTGTTGCAGCAAGACTTTCAAGCAAATGCAGTATCTCTGAAGACCAAGAGTGCTTGAAGAACAGTTTCTTGTGGTTTCCACTCCTGTTCCCCCTATTTATCTTTTCTTTCTCCATCATGGTGGTTCTTTGCAAACTTCTTGTTGTGCACAAGCACCACAACCAGGAAATCAATTTGATGTCCTGGTCCTACCTATGGTGGTGGTTTGTTGATCGATTGTTGCATGTCTGGGAACTGTCGGTTGGTAGATTCTTGTTGGAAACAAAGTTTGCTTGGCTCTTCTACTGGCTGCTTGGTGCTGACCTTGCATGGTCTGCAAGGATTGATGCTTTCATTCGAGAGTGTGATCTTGTCAGTGTTGGGCCCAATTCATCAGTTGGCCATGCCATACGATGCAGAAAATTCCGACCATGGACTGAGGGCAGTCCCAGGATGGTATTCCGTCCAATCATTGTTGGGCCAAATTGCAAGGTGTCTGGAATGGTAAGCCCTGGGGCTGTTATTGGAGCTGGGTCCATTGTCGAGAAATTGACCGTGGTGGAGGAAGGAGCTCAAGTTCCTGCTAATGTCATTGCCAGAGGGATTCCAGCGCACAATGCCGGTTCATGCACCAGTCCTGAGTCAAACTGGCAGGACGAGTCCCTGCTCGATGCTTTCAAGGCTCTCTGGATGCTTTCAGAAGCCTACCACTACTATGCCCTATACTTCCTTGCCCATGCAATCCTCAAAGACACCTTGCCTATCTGGCGCTACCATGTTGTTCTGCATTGGTTCCTGCTCTTTCCTCTGGCTTCATTGGTGGCTATGGTGACTAGCATCCTCATGAAATGGCTCTTGATAGGAAGAAGAGATCCATCAGAGGAGTACGAGGGTACATTGTGGAGGAGAGCTACCAACTGGGCCTGTGACTACCACTTTCGAGTTGCTGCTTGGATGCTTGGCAAGTTTGTAGGGGCTTCCAGATTTGATACATTGATTCTATGGTGCCATGGTCTTGATGTTGATGTTGTGTCAATTCTGCATACTGCCTCTACAATTTTTTCTCCTTCGAATGTTGATTTTGTAAAGATACGCCAATCCTTCCTTTCTCTTACGGAAATCGAACTGGATAGGCCATCCGGGGAGAAAATTGAGATTTCCAACAGTTCCCTTGGAAGAAACACCATTTTGTATGCTGGTGCTAAGGTCATCGGATCAAACATCCCATCCAGAAGTCAGGTCTCTGACAAGATCTATGACTTAAACCCTCCAAACACCAAATTGGCGGTAACACGGAGCTTCATCCTCCTTGAAGTGATTCTTCCTGAAGTTGCCCTCCTGATTTTGATTTCCATCATCTTTTGGAGCATTATCCCTGCATTGGAGTTGGCTATAGCAATTACAGGAAGCAACTCTTCTCCAACTGTGCTTGTAATTGTTCTTGTGGGGGCTGTTGCCTTTCAGTTTTTTGGCTGGATCCTCCTTGCCAGGATTCTTGAGTGGGTTTTTCTCAAGGTGGTGCCTCCCTCTATCCAGAGAGGACTGTTCCGTGTCTATCTCTCTTTCATGAACAGCTTCCGCCACTTGAACCCTCTGGAGGTTCTTCTAATGGGAACACCATTCTTCAAGCATTATGTTCTATTCATGGGTGCTAAAGTTGATGGCGATCTTTGGTTCTTTGATTGCACTTTTGATGAGTTTGGTAACTACCACTTCAAGGGAAACACAATTGTGGACAATGCCTACCCCCGTGGGCACTATGTTGACATCAATGGGCTCACATTGAATAACGTCTATGTTTCTGGGATTGTGCACCCCGGATGCTATATTGCAGCTGGAGCTGTTGTGGGAGGCAGGGAAAACGGCCCATGGAAATCATTCTTTCCCTCAACCGCTGAGAAGGTTGTTTCTGGCAAAAGGCAGAGTCTCCAGGGCAGCACTTGTCTTATGGGGAGTGAAAGTCTCTGCCAGAGCTCTCGATTACATGAGTTTAGTGTATAGTTGAGAAAGTTGCAAATATCGGCGGCTGATTATGGTTTCGTTCCAGACCCAATTGCAAAGAGTGGACCGGCGCATTCCACCACATGATCGTAGTTGTTGCATAGCAGAAGGCGGGATCTCACAAGGAGGAAACACCATAGTCACTCCCTTCATCTCTGAAGAAGACGAAACTACAAATGTAATAGTGAGTCGCTGCCATGGTCCACTTGAGAGCGCTATTCTTGAAAGGCAACATGCATTACGACGACGGGTTGGTCGCTGTGGTCGCTGAACTATCTATCCATAGGGGAGTTCTGTTCTGAGAAAGCTTGTGGCCATGGTCTGTTGATCCAATGAGTCAACGCACCACAATCGATCACGGAAACGGGAATAGGCCGCCTGCATGTATATCAACTGTCGGTTTGCGTTGTTTGGTTGGCCTCCTTGCTAATTGAATGCTATGGTTTTGTTGTTCTCTATAACCATGCACCCATGCTGCTGTTGTCAAAGGTGTTTTCTTGGCATACCGATAACAGCACGCGCAGGCCACAGCCCGCCAAGCACCGCGGAAACGTTGCGCTACTAGCTAGGCCCGAAGGTGGTACTTTATCATCTCTTAGTCTTCACCGAATCACCGAATCATAAACTGCTGCCGGCAATGACATAACAGCCAGAGTGAAGAGAGACACTCATCACATCACATTCTAAGGGGACGATTGGGAAAACTCATTTCTTCAAGGCTCTTGCCTTCGTCAGTTTGAAGTATAGTTGAGAAAAAGCGGATGCACGTTGCTTTGCTTGTCTACGAGATTGAGCCCTCTATACCGTACGGTAGTTCTAGCTCGAAGGCACCGTCTTCAACACTAGACAGCTGTACATGTATCCGAATCATGAGGTGGCAGACGTTCGTTTCCAGTTCCAGTGCCAGTCGGGGGAAATCAATCATGACCTTGACGCGCAACCGATGAATGGTCTCGATCCGTACCAGGGGTTTTACGTTTGGCTTCTCCGGGGCCGCGCATGCAACTCGGATGCTTGTACTTCTAGCTAGCTAGTAGGGAATCAAAAGTTGCAGGTTGCCAGATGTACGCTGCGTTCCTTCATGGCTTAAGTTTCGACAACGATATGATAAGTCTGCCGCACTTCAGTTGGGACGCGTTGGCCTTGATGCAGCTCTGGACGTGAAAGGTGTGTTCTGTCCTCACCGGCAACACTCACGATGGATTCCAGTCAACGTTCTGCAGCCTCGTCAGGTCTCCAGACACAGTGGTGGACCCGAGTCGAGTCACTCACTCAGAGGCGTAAGGGTTCGTTAGTACTAGATTTTCATTTGGGGCTTCTACTGTACCGGTACTTGGCCTCGGATACATGGAATAGCAGTATGGTGGGTGGATCGGAAGATGAAGGATCAGAAGGATCCTTGTAAGATAACGGCGACGGCGAGGACAATCTGGCCAAGACGGATGACGGACAGACGAGAGTCCCCAATCTGATTCATCCAGCTAGTGCTCTTCCACGAGGATCACCAACCTTGAGTCGCAGAGCCCATTGTTTTGTTTGTCTTGATCCACCTCTCTTCTATCGGTGTAACAAGACTGCTCTTTGGTTGCTTCCATCAGTGTAATTGCCTTGATAGCTAATAGACACCATCATTAGTAGCTGTCTACCATCTACATCAATCCCACTGCCGTCGCTGTGTTTCTTCTCCTCGGCCCTTTTCTTTTTCTCTCCCATCAATCCAGCGAGCAAAGAAGTACATCCCGTCATTGGGATCAATCCAACCGAACCCAACCCTGGGAAAACCTCCAGTGTACCACTCTCCCATTAACTCCACTCAATCTATTTGCAATCTCCGTGGAAATTTTCCTTGTAGTGGCAGCGATCCACTACTTCCACAACCGACCAATCCATTACCGACCAATCAATTTCTCGAGTACCGTCACTACTACCGTCATTGGCAGCATTTCAACCCCAAAATGGGACCATGATTCAGCATCCTTCCCACTTCCACGATATCCTGTCTCTACTACTACTACCGTGACAGCCAATTTCTACACAACCAGTAGTCAATAAATTTCTATTTCCTCGGGAGGTACCACCAGCATCGATTGTCAGCACTCCAACTCCACCCCGGCACTCCCTTCTTCAGTGTCAATTTCCCAATACCATCAAAATCCCTTTCTTCTGGTCACTACTGTACTTCTATAATGGAAAATCCCCGGCCCGGATCCCATACTATCGTATCCCGTCTTGCGTCACAGTCAAAACTACAAATCGACCACTCTCTTCCGAAAACATCATCCATTTTCCAATGCCATCTGATTGCTTTCTACCACTACTACCAGGACGCCGATCTCGGTGTACAGAATTAGACCGTCCTCAAATTCAAATTCCTCAAGAAGTACTACGGGTACCACCGTCATTGGCAGCACTCCAACTCCAAATCTGTCACTCCCTTCTGGGGCGGTCATTCCATATCAATTCTATGAAAAAATCAAATTCCTTCTACCGCCCACTCGTCCCATGACGGCAAATCCCAACCATGATTCCCAATGCTATCAAATCTTTTCTACTATTACTACTGTGACGGCAAAATTTGCACAATCAGCTGTTCATTTCTCATTCCTTCGGACCCACTATCGTCTTTGGCCACAATCAAACTCCAAATCGACCACTCTCCCTGGGACCATCATACAGCATCGGTTCTCAATGCCATCACGTCGTTCTTTCCCACTCCTAAGGGGACGCCAATTCACGGATACAGAATCAGCCGTCAAATTCGGCCCCCAGGGGCCCTACTGCGGTCGTTGGCATCGCTCCTACTCCAAATCTACAACTACTTCCGTGCTGGCAACATCTCAATTCCCAATGTCATCAAATCTTCTCCACTATTACTACTGTGACCGCAAATTTTGTACAATCAACAGTTCATTTCTAATTCCTTGGGCCCTACATGATAGCTTTCTTTGGCCAAAGCACCACTACTACCGGATGGAAAATTCCCGTGTACACAATCTGCACTCAATATCTAATTTCCTTGGGTCTTACTATACCATTTTGGCGGCAGCCAAACCCCAAAGATTCGACCACTCTCTTCTGGGGCCACCATCATTCAGCATCATGTCCCACAGTACGGTCGTTCCGGTCAGCATTACTATTATTCAACATCATTTTCCGGATGCCATCGGCTCCGTTTACGCCAGTCCAAATATCAATCAATCTGCATATCCAATCATCCATCATCAATCTGTCCACCCAGCCATCTATGCTGTCACTCATCTAGCCATCCATCATCCAGCCATACCAATACTATTTCGACAGTTCATATATCCATCAATATGTACATCTCTCAACTCCTCCAGCTAATTTTTCACCCAATCATCAAACCACTCAGGCATTTAGTCATGGACTCAGCTATTCATTCACCCAGACATTTCAATGCCATTTGGGCGCTCCACAATTCCATCAATTTGTACATCTAGCCAGCCAAACTTTCCACTCATCCAGCCATCCATTCATCCAGCCATACGAACATTAGTTCCAAGAACCGTCCATATATCCATCAATCTGCACCTCCAATCATCCATGCTCTCAACTCCTCCAGCCAATTATTCATCCAGTTTTCAGATCACCCAGTCATTTAGCGATTGACTGAGCCATTCATTCATCCTGCCATTTCAACACAACTTAGGCACTCCATAATTCCATCAATTGGCACATAAATTTTGAGAGCCATCCATCACTCATTCATCAGATCATCAACCAATACATCCAGACATAAGCAAGCCCACAAGCACTTCAATCAGTCAACTCATTATTTCATCTATCAGTTCACTCATCAGTCCACATATCACCCCATCCATCCACCAACAAGCCTATCCATCAGCCCATCACTCTAATATGCATCATTCCTTCTGGAAATCAGCCCATAGATTCTCCCAGCAATCTATCCATCAGCCCAGTGGCATATTCACCAGTCCCTTTGGATCCCAGCCTTTCCAGCCTTCTAGCAATACATTCAACCAGCAATCCAGCAGTTCATTAGCCCATCTTTCAATCCATTATCCCATCAGCCCATCACTCCATTTGCTTAGCCATCAATCCACTCTGCACCAGCCAGCAGCCCATCCATCCTCTCCGCACCCACCCATCATTTATGTTGCACCAGCCCATCAACCAATCAACCCAGCAGTCCATCCATCATCCCATCCATCTATCCACCCATCCATTTGGTTACCTATCACCACATACATCCTTCCATCAATCTCCACATCCACATAGCAATTCATGAGCCCATTAATCTGTCTGCCTATCAATCCATCAACTCATCAGCCCATTTATCAGCCAACACATCAGTCCCCCCATCCATCAGTCACTCAATAAGCCCATCCCTTTATAAACCCATCAATTCACTATCCATCAGTCCATCTGGATATTAGCCCATCCATCCTCCCAGCAATTGTTCCCTTAGCCCAGCAGCTTTTCCATCAGTGCATTCTTTTTGATGCCAGCCTATTCATTCTTCCAGCCATCTAGGCATCCAGCAATCCTTTATTCCCTCATTTTATGGATCAACAGTCCATCAGCCCATCCTTCAGCCCCTCATCCTTTCCCAACCTATCATCATTCACTGCATCAGCAATCAATCAAGCAGTTCATCCGTCAGTCAATCCATCAGCCCATTCTTCAGCTCATCCATCAATTAATTATTCCATCAGACTACCTTCACTCCATCAGACTACCAATCAGTTATCAGTCCATCCACCATTCAATCCATGTATCTACCAGTGTAGACGTCAATCCATCAGTCCAACAATCAGATCATCCTAGATCACTCCAACAGCCTAGCAACCCAGCAGTCCATTCATCAAACATCCACTACTTCATTATCCCATCACCAGCCATTAATCAATCAGTGGCAACTTCGACCCATCCAGCAGTCCATCCACCAATCGACCCATCATTATCAGTCATCCATCAAACATCCTCATTCATCCATGCATATCATGTGGCACCGGATC